CAGCACGTGGTGAAATGGTTGTTGACTGTGTATGATATATCAGGACAGTGTAATGATACACACACAGCACGTGGTGAAATGATTGTTGACTGTGTATGATATATCAGGACAATGTAATGATATACACACACACAGCACGTGGTGAAATGGTTGTTGACTGTGTATGATATATCAGGACTGTGTAATGACACAGCTTATCCACTAAATTTCACTTTCCTACCTGCAATTTGTTTCTAGACTTTTGGAGATTTTGTTTATTTTGGAAAGAAAAATTATCATCAGAAAGTTTCTTTTAGTTAAAAAATACTTCAAGTCTAGGAGTGGCAGTGAAAATGATTTTTTTACCAGTTACCATCTCAAGAATGTTATCGATCGGCACTACTGTAATACATAAACTTTTGTTTTTGTTAAATTCAAAACTTGGCCGAATCTCATTGATAACTAACCAGTAAATAAATACACAAATTTCTGAAACCTGTAACGATTCCGAGATGAAAAAATATCAACTCGGTTTCTTTTGTCTTTGCTACTAGAACACAGTTTTCTTCAGATAAACCTCAAAAAATATATATCGTATTTATTTATAAATCATTATACTGTTTAAATAGTATACGTATTCCACACACAAAAAAAAAAAACAATTTGGTCACAGCTTTCAATTAATAATGTAAAGGTATGGATAATATCAAACATTTTCTTATTTTAAAAATTTCAAACAACAAAAGATAATATAATGCAAAGTTTGAAGCCAAAATAGTGAACATTAAATAAAAAGGGGAATGTTTCGTTAAGGGACATTACTTAAAAATTGATAGTATGTCTTTGTTGCAGCTACTGAAAAAACAGATTTGGATTTAACTTTTCTAAAGTCTCAACTGTTTATCGGGATCAATTCGGACTTGTTAGTTTCATATATTTCTTTCTCCGAACCTTCATATAAGTGTTTCAATGCTACTTATCATGGCAGTCACATTGAAATATGACGATCTTTTTTACAGTTACTAACATCAAATTAGGCTTAACAAGAAGTTCTGTAAATCCCTCTCCGTGAGTGAGTCAATAAATCAATTGAAACTACTTGTATCAAATGACATTGAATTATAAAAAATTGTTCAGCACCAGTCCATCATAACGAAGCAGTTATTAAACAAGTTAAATAAATTCCTAAATACAAAATAGCAAAATCACACGTTAGTTTTTCATCAAATCTGATGAAACTGATAAACTTAAAATATAATTTAAACTATCCTTCAAAGATCTGTATGTTCACAAATCCTCCTAGACATATATCAACCAAACATTTTATTGAAATCTATAAGCTAATCAAAAAATAAAGTTATACCTCAAATAATTATCAAGTTTCAATAACACTGACCCTATTCCCTATTTTAGGTTATTACAGAACACATAAAAGATTATATCTTTATCGGTAAGTGACGATTCCATCTCTAGAATCGTACTAAAACAAGCCTTGAACCGCTAGCAAAGTTTCTAAACGAAAAAATGCACAATACATACCAAATATATAAAAGCCTCTACCGAGACCACTGTACATTCTATACGATTGTAAGCTCGTGTGATTATACAAATAAATCTCTATAATATTAAACAAATGTGGCTGTAGTAAACTATTTTACCTAATTCTGTATACCAACAGTTATACTGAAACATGCCTGTTACAAGTTGGGTTGCATAAACTCTCATATAAATGTGAAAGGGGGGAAAAAAAAGTGTTCCGTAAATGAGAGTGAACCGTTCGTCTCCACTGGCAGGTTTTCACAACAGATTTTCAAGATGCAGCGTTTATCCAATTCTTAAACCAGTCATGGTGGCTTCTAACGTCTGTTTAAAGAAAGTACGGCAATGTTACGTCACTGTTCATACAAAATATAACCTAACCTAAAAATAGTCTAACAGAGCAAGATAAGAAACTAGATACGGTCGACTATAAAATTATTGAATTAAGCCAATCTCATCTTGATCCACAAAAAACACGTCCTTTACTATCATACTGTAACATAATAAAAAAAGCTTTAGAAAAATAAACCAGACTGTTAATTGTGGTGCAAGTTATTCCCAAACATCGTATCTTCCAGCAACATATTACCAAGTTAAGCCTTTTGATCAGCTTGTTCTGATCTATACGTGACTCTCCACTGAACTGGAAGCCATATTGGTTTATATGGTTGAAAAGAGCTTTCATTACGTGTCTAGATTTCAAACCAATGACTTCTCGAGGCTGAGATATAAGCAATTACATCACACCACGACAACTAAGATCAAAAACCAGCGGCAGGCCAATACTCAATAGAACTATAGTTATACTGAAGTTACATGTTCAAAATATTGACAATTTCTTGAAAACTAATTTGAGTTTCCTTCTAAAGAGCTACAGGTACCATATTACTATCAGACAAAACTCTCAAACATTTATGTTTTCATTTTAAATCAACAAAAAATCAAAATTCAAGATTCAAAAAAATTTTATGCATAAAATTAAATATATAAAACTTTTTATTAAATAAATTTGAACTTTGAAGCTGTTTTTTTTTTTTATATGTAGAAGAACAAGTACAAGTGCTAAGACATTATACAATGGTCAATTTGCCATCGAGGTGGGATGTATCCATCCGCCCATGATAGAATTGAATAAGTAGGTGTAGTTTCCATGGAAACTATTATATTTGATCTTCATCAAAGGACCTTGTTGCTATGAATACTACAACTGATATCTCAGTAGTTATTACAACTTGTTTTACATGATACAGTTGACTCTACTTTACCTTGATATCTGTAATTACTACAACTGGTTTTACATGATACAGTTAACCCTACTTTACCTTGATATCTGTAATTACTACAACTGGTTTTACATGATACAGTTAACCCTACTTTACCTTGATATCTGTAATTACTACAACTGGTTTTACAT